TCAAGTCCTTGTGCTTGCCAGGGAAGCGCTTATTCCACTGAGCCATCTCCCGGCCCCCAAGATGCTTCTTTATTTCTTTCCTTTTCTTTTTTTGGTACCAGGAATCAAACTCAGGAGGGCCTTATGCTTGCCAGGCAGGCACTGTGCCACTGAGCTATATCTCTGGCTTTTTTTTTTTTTCCCCCTAAAGACAGGTTCTCTCTATGTAGTTTAGGCTGCCTTAAACTCACTATGTAGCCCAGGCTGGCCTTGAGTTCATGGAGCTCCTTCTGCCTCAGCCTCCCAAGTGCTGGTATTACAGGTGTGTGGCACCATTCCCAGCTGGAAACAAATGATTTCTGCCAACCAAAATCACCACAGACACCATTAATATAGATGGCAAAGTGGGAGAAGATTTCTGCATTTCTCAGGATGCATAAGGGACATCTGGACAACACAGGGAATGCTTTCCAGTCAACAAGAAAAATGTATCAGTACTATCAGAAAATATGAACAGGTAACTTACTAAAGAAGGAATCAAAGAAGCACACAAAAAGATGCTTAGGGCTGGTGAGATGGCTCAGTGGTCTAAAGCACCTACTTAGAACAAGCTAAGCTAATCAAAGCACAGGGACTGCGGTTCAATCCCCCAGCACCACATGCCAGTCAGACCCGCCCCCTGGTGGGCTGAGCTGGCCACACACAAAATAAATAAGTAAATAAACAAATAAAATTAAAAAAAAAAAGATGCTTAATCATTACAGAAAAATGCAAATTAAGACAATGATGAGAGGTCCGGGAATATAACTCAGCAGCACAACTGGTGCCAGAGGTGCTGTTGTAGGAGGTTCACAGGGAATATGAGGCCAAACTGGCCTACACAGTGAGTTCAAAGCCAGCCTGGACTACATCGTGAAACCCTGTCTCAAAAGACAAAAACAAGAAAGAAAAAAAAATCAATTGATTAAAAAATCCTGGAGATATAACCCACAGCCTTTACACTGAACTACATCTGAGGCCATTATTTTTTATTTTGAGATAGAGTTAAATTGCTAGTAGGCTGGGCTCAAATTTGCAATCCTCCTGTCACAGCTTCCCAGAGTTCTGGGATTATTGGCATGCTCCACTATGCCTGGGTACTTGTGTTTAATGTCTACTCTCACCCTACATCTAAAATACAAATCAAATAAGAAAAGGCTGCCATCTTTATTTTTTTCCTTGTATGTCTAGCAGCTAAAAGAGTGCCTGCAAGCTGAGTACCTGGCAGACCTTCAACAGGTACTTGCTGGACTCAATAATGCAAGAATGTGAGGAGGGGGTGAAGGCGGAGATGCAGACCATGGAGGGTCCCTGTTTCCTTGGCGCGGGCCCCAGGCACAGAGATCCACTCACTCGAAAGAAGTCACGAAGCAGGTCTGGGAAGGAGCCCCGGGCACCAGGGTTATGTTCTCCACCGCCCAGCCATTGCCGCCGTGTTCCACCTCCCAGCCTCTGAAACCCTCTGAGGACACAACAGGGTTGAATGTGAAGGGTTTCCCAGCAGAGAGCCCGCGACCGCACAGCATGTATCGCTCACTCGCTCCTCCTGGCTCTGCCCCTCGCTTTGGCTGCTTGGGATGATACAGACTTTGCTGGGATACAGACCCCATTTCTATCCCAGCGTCACACAACCGACCCATCCTTTCAACCTTCTCCACCCACAGTCAGTCTTTTTCGCTTCTCAAATTCCCAGGACCGCCCAGCGACCAACGCCCGCTTTGCCTCGCCCACTCGCTCAGATTCTCCCTCTGCAGGGAGGCTTTACTTTGGAATGCAAACTCCGCCCCCATCAGCATCCAATCAGCTACATCTCAGCCAACTTCACGCACCTACGCCACGCCTCTAAGCGCGCGGTTTCACGTCTCAGCCCCGCCCCCCGGCTCCTTCAGTTGTCTCCCACTGGCTACACCTCTCAAACCTGCCACGGCCACGCCCACTCGTCCCTTTCCCCGGGGCAAGTTTTCTCTGCTTTCCTCCCGAACGCTCCCGGCCAACGCGCCTTAGGCCACGCCTCCTGCACGTAGCTTCTAAGGCCCCGCCCTCAGCACGCACGTTCTCCACAGGAGTTGAAGATGAGGTTTCTGCCGAGAGGTGCGCGCAGACAGAAGCGTGCCAGGGCGCAAAGCGGAAGGTCCTCCTCGTCCTCGCTGCTGGGCGGGCAGCGCTGAGCCAAAGCGTAGAGCGCGCGGCCCTCGGCGCTGCGGTCTCGAGCCAACTGCAGCAGCCACACGGTGGGCCCGTCTACGACGTCGCGCCAGGCGCGGCACACTGGGCGGCAGCAGGTCACCAACGCGCGCGGCGGCACGTGGCTCAGCACCCGCACGAGCAGCTCAGGGGGCAGCGCGTCCAGAGTCACCGGCGGGTATGCGGGCCGCCGCCGCGAGGGCCGGGCGCCCATCGCCGCCGCTGGGTTCCTGTGGGTCGAGAGGGGTCAGTGGGTCAGCATCTCACCAAGATCATCAGCTCTATGGGGGACGGGTAAAGGCTGCCAAGGCTGCAGACGCCTGAGTTCCCTCTGCTTGAGGGTGAGCAACGATCCAGTGGGGTCCTTTGTTTTTCCTCTTTAAACAGAACCTCCTGCTTGGAGCTGGGCGTGGTGGCGCACGCCTGTGATTCCAGCACTTCGGGAAGCTGGGGCAGTAAGACCCAAAATTCTAGCCTAGCTGAGACCGTTTCAGAAAAATGAAAAGGAGCCGGGGAGATAGCTCAGTAGAGTGCCTGCCTGGCAAGCATAAGGTCCTGAGTTCAATCCCTGGTACAGCAAAAAAAAAAAAGAAAAAAAAAGAAAGAAAGAAAAGAAAAAAAAAAAAAACCCTCGTGTGACCTGACCCCATTAGAAGCGCTAAGCACAGCTGCCGCGAGGCGCGCTTGTGTCTGGCTAAGCACTTCACATGGCCGGAAGCACACTGAAGCGCCATCCCCCAGTGTGTGCCAGCTCCTTGGGTCTTTGCCATTCAAGACCTCTCTTCAGCAAAATCTTTTTCCCCAACCTGTCATCTTGTTCTAATTAGAACTGGGCTCTCTTAATGTTCATTTTAAAAGTCCTTGCCCCTGGGAGCTGCTTCCGGACCACTCTGTGTGTCTCCTCCCAGCCGCCTAGCTGTTGAGCTCCATCATCTGGGGTCAGTCACTGGCCACCTGATGGGTCATCTGCTGACCCGGGTGTGCTCCTTTTCCTTAATCTCTGATTCAGGTTGCTTCTGTCACCACTCTAGTGACTTCCATATCCAGGCAGATGATCCCTGCCTCTCAGTTCGCTGCCCTCGTCAGTGACCTTGTCGTGCCTCCCCTCTGCCTCCCGGGTCATAGTAGATCTTGATTCAATGACTCCAGCCTCCTCAGAACAGCAGCCTTTGATCTCTGCACAGCCCCAACCCCCAGTTTAAATTCCATGCTTAAACCTTAAAACCTTCATTTGCATACACTTTTCCCCTTAACCTCTGAAAACAAGATGGTTAAATCCAACCCTGCACACCCTGTGCCTGTACCCCCACAGCTTGAGGGCTGGAGATCAGCGCAGCTCCTGGGCTCTCTGTGCAGTGACGTCCAGCTGTTTCTAACGCTGCCTGGCAATTACATTACATTTCCCTTACCTCCGCCTCTCCTCTCTTTTATATAGCTGTTTCGCACCTCTTCCTTCTCTCCTCTCTTCTAAATCCCTAAATTGCCAGGATGGTTTTTAATTTTCGATGCTCTTTTCCTGAGCCTCCTACAGCATGAAATTACAGGTGTGCATCACCATGCCTGATCGACTTCCTCACCTTTTTTCTCTTAAACACTTACCAACTTCTAACACATAACTTCAAACTTCTAACAAATAACTGTATGTAACTTATCTTTTTGCCTCTCCCCAACTACATAGTACACACCATAAGTCCAGAAATTCTTTTGCACCCCCAAGCCCCAGTGCCTGTGACAGTGCCTGACACATCATGAACATTCAGTAAGGAGGTATTAAGCAGCTGGGGTGTGGCTCTGTGATACAGCACTTGGCTGGCACCTGGGAGGCTCTGGGTTCCATCCTCAGCACCACAAAAACAAAAGTCCCATTTGATAGATGAGAAAACTGATGCCACACGGATGTGCAAGGAGGTGAGACACCTTTATTGAACAGGAATGCCTGGGCCAGCCTAAGGCCTGAAGAGACGCTTGTGTCACCACCTTGTCCTCAGAGGTGGCAGAGCAGCCTTGGGAGGGGAGCACAGCACTGGGCCCACTTTGCCTATCTTCAGCCACTCCCTAAGATGCCTCTGCTGCCGGTATGACCAGGAGCAAGTCACTTAGTCTCTTGGCACTTTCCTTTCCTCTTCTGAAAATGGCCCTGCGAATGCTGCTTACTTCATAGGGATGTCTCGAGGACAGTGTGAATTCATATTTGTAAGGCACTTAGGAAAAGTGCTTGAGGCTCATAATGAAGAACGGTAATTATCTAATATTAAACATCAAATTATGTCAGTGGCTGTGATTGTTATCACACATTGAAAAAATGACAAGCAACTATGTAGCTGTGACATTTTCCTGTGGGTGACATTTACTGGCTCTCAGGGGGCCACCCTGCTGCGCGTCTAAGTTGGATCAGCTCACAGCCCATGATGTAGTCTGATAGGTGACTCAGCCCTTCCAGGTCGCCCTGGGTTAAGAGGCTCCTGGGTGGTAATGATTGGTACACGGCAGCCTGGGAGTGTGCCCTTCTCGACAGGTGGGATTATCCTCAAGTGGGTTGATCAAGGTTTTGTTAAAAAAAAAAAATTCAGGGGGCTGGTGAGATGGCTCAGTGGTCTAAAGCACCTACTTAGAACAAACTAAGCTAAGCAAAGCACAGGGACGGTGGTTCAATCCCCCGGCACCACATGCCAGCCATTCCCGCCCCCTGGTGGGCTGAGCTGGCCACACACACACACAACATAAATTTAAAAAAAAAAAAAAAAAAAAAATTCATAAGGAAGAAGGAAAGGTAAGTGGCCTTTGGAGATAGCAAAATCCTGACCCCACCTTTACGCCTGCCGCAGAAAGACAGAAGCCAGGGAGACCTGTTGTTCTCAGTCTAGATGGCTTATTAACTTACTAATAATTAGCTCCGACTTACAAGCAGGTCCGCTAGTTTGCCTAGCAGGGATGTGAGAGCCACCAGAGTTTAGTCCTGTGGTCTGCTCTTCTCAGGAGTGTGTTGGTCACTGATGATCAAAGGACTTCTTGGGCTGGGTTGGCCCTTGAAAGCAGTCAGACTTCACTAAGGAGCAAGAAGCACAGCTCAGGCCAGATGCAGTGGTGCACGCCTATAATCCCAGCACTGGGGAGGCTGAGGCAGGAGAATCACTGAGAGCGCAAGGTCAGTGTAGGCCACACAGTTCAATCGAGAGATGGCCTCAAAAAAAAACCCCAAATAAAAAGAAAATCAGTGTAGCTCATAATTACTTAGTGGCACTATACAAGCTACACAAATTGTTTGTTGGGGATGCATTAGCAACCTAGCCAATACCCTGTGCCCATGGCTGAATACCAGTTACTGGCTGGCTCAGTTCAGGGCAAACAAGGCTTGGCACTGGGAGTATATCCGGAGGAGATTATTATTAGTTATTACAAGCTGGGTGTCACAGTACATGCCCTCTAATCTCAGACCGAGGTGAGAGGATTGTGAGTTTGATACCAATGTGGGCTGTTTAGCAATCTAGTGAGACCTTGTCTCAACATTCAGTAAAAATATTTAAAGACAGCTGGGAATCTAGGTCAGTGCAACAGCCCTGGATTCAATCCCCAGTACCACAAAATAAAATAAAATTGTAAAATATCATTGTCACGGTAACTAGAGACACTCTTGACATGCAGTTTCCAAGGACCGCTGATGCTATGTATAGCGTCCCACGGTTTCCAAAGCTGGCCACCAAGCCGTTTCCTGACTGTTCTTTTACAGTTTTATTGTTCATTAAACTGTGAGGCTCACACTCTTGCCTCTGGCCTGGCTGGGCCACCATGGCAGGCTTGCCTCTCAGAGCACTACAGAAGGGACATTGCTCAGGGACTTCGAGGTGGCGTCCTAAAGGGCACACATGCCTGTGGAGACCCACTTTGTGGTTGCTGCCAAATGCTAAGTGGTCAGCAGCCAATGGGGTGGGGAGTTTGGGTTTCTAGCATTTTCTGGGGGTGTAAATTATACCCAAAGCTGTTTACAAGCTGCCAATGTGAAGTCCCAGAACTCTGGGGTTGGAGTAAACAAGGAAGGGAAGTGACAGTTCCCTGGCTCTTGTCAGGGGCAGGCATAGTGGCCCACGCCTGTAATCCCAGCCCTCAGGAGGCTGGGACTGAAGGAGGATCGTTGTGAGTTTGAGAGCAGCCTGGGCTACAAAATGAGCTCAAACCAGCCTGAGTTGCAGAGCAAGGCCCTGTCTCAAAAAGACAATACAAAAAAACCAAAAAACAGCATGTGCATCTGGCTACCCGGAAGTCATCGTTTGGAGACCGAGCACACAGGCGAGAGGCCTGAGCAGTGCCAGCTGTTCCTGCCTCCCCATGCCAAGTGCTATCCAGAGGAGAGGAAGGGGGTTGCCCGTGCAGCCCCAGCCATTGTCTGATGGAACTGAACAAGACCCCTGCGTGTGGACCACTGAGCTGGGCCCAGCCCCAGAACTATAAATGATAATAAGGTAGTGGTTATTGTTTAAAGTCACAGTGGGCTGTTAGGCAACACTAGCTAAATGCAACAATGTTTGGTGATTTGCACAGTGTGGCATGGTGCCCATCAAGTGAGCCCTCACCAAGAAATAGTGGGCCCCAGCGCTCTGGGAGGCTGACGCAGCAGGACTGCATGTCTGTAGCAAGCTTGGACGGCTCAGTGAGACCCTGTCTCAAAAATAACTTTAAAAAGGGCTGACGATGGAATGTAGCTCAGTGCAAAGACCCTGGATTTAACTCCCAATACCTCAAAATATAAAAAACAAGCAAACAAACCACCCAGAAAACAGAAAAAGACAGACAGAAAAGAAACAATGGGTACCACTGTAGACACAGACCGACCTGAGTTTAAATTCTGATGCTACCCACTTTCCACATAAGTGATTTGAGGCCAATTGTTGTTGTTTTTTAAGACAGGGTTTCACTATGTAGTTCAGGCTGGCCTTGAACTCACTGTGTAGCCCAGGCTGGTCCTGAACTCTTGGTGATCCTCCTGCCTTGGCTTCTCCCAAGTGCTAGGATTATAGGTGAACATCAAGCCCAGCAGGGATAGCATTTTTTAAAAAAAATGTTGCTTTTAGATACTGACTATTGGTTTTACATTCTTGGATTAAATAAACCACACTTTTTTTTTTTTTTTTTTGCGGTACCAGGAATTGAACTCAGGACCTTGCGCTTACCAGGCAAGTACTTATTGAGGATTACAAGTAATCTACAGATGATTTAAGGCAGTGGTCCTGGGCCT